CCCTATGTCTGTAGCCACTGCTAATACATGTAGATCATGTGACCTTCCGATTGCCTCCCCACAGGCACACACGTTCTCCAGCAAATGCTCCGTCGTTTAACTATGACTTGACCTTTTTGACTGAGTTCTAGTTTTACGTCATTTGTTCATTCCTTACTATATATATATATATATATATATATATATATATANATATATATATATATATATATATATATATATATATATATATATATATATATATATAGCAGTCCCGAATTCCCTGGCCCCGGCTGTGATTGGACAGTCCTCGTGACAGTCGGTCATGTGTCGGTGTTTTTCCTTCGTCCCGCCAGTTTTTGGTTTGTTCGGCGACCGAAGCTTTGTTCTTTCGATTGGCCGTAGTAGCTGCTATCTGTATCAGCCTTGATCTATTGACTGTTTGGTGAGCTTCCTGTGAGAACGCCACGAATTGAGGTTTGTGCCTGTAATTGTGATGTACCCATTATTTACGTGTAGTACCGCATTCATTGGACGTTATCAAACAATTGTACCTAGTTCGATTCCTTATTTTGGCTCTGCGTGTCACTCAACCTTGGCCTAGACAGATCTAACTGTGTCTACAAACTTGATCATTCTAGTTTATATTTTGGTAATCCATTTTACAGAGAGATAGAAAATAGAGCACGCTTCACTGGTGGTTGTCAAGCTCAAACTACATGCGAAGTGATGTGGGGTTCGTTTTGTGGGACAGGAACAAAAATCGAATCACAACAGTTAGCATACAGAAGACATAGTCTACACCGTTTTCAGTTTACGATGTCCGAATTTCAACTGAAGATGCCCGAGTATCAATTTAAGATGTCATATCGCTATTTGGATGGTACCTTACATAGTTCGATGGAACCCCTGTTTACCCAGATCCATGTGCGTCCTACCTGCATACTGATGTATGGTCCCCGGAAAGATCGTCCCACGCTCAACAAAAATATGCAACGACGACGATCTTGTCTGTTTGTTTGCACACACAGACTGGACAACGCAATATTTAGCTCGCAAAATGTATTTCATTCATACGCTCAATGTGTTTGCCATGTAGAACTCTGTGGGTCTCAAAGTCCAACGGTTCGAATCCCGGCATGGACTGAAAATTGTGCACTGTTGGCGAGTCTCAACAAGAAGGAAGCATTCATCTAGTATTCTCTAGCAATCATGATACTAATGGATCAGTTTTGTGCAAGAAGACACCCCGCATTTCCCTAAGTTGTTATGGTTTTACCAGTTAGTAAAGCTTATATTGTTGTGGAGTCTCAACAGATCATGATTTTAGTGTTTGATCGGTGATATCAGTAAAAATCACTGGTAATTTATTGGTCATTCCACGTGGAAGCCTTTATTTCTTGATGAACTAGTACGAACCTGAATGAGGTCGCATGCTTAATATCAAACCACAAAGTCAATGGAGGATGTAAACAACTCCCTTTATGAACCGTTCAAGTTTACATTTGATGCGATCATCGTTTTACTTGTGCTTAAAGTACTTCAGTATTTACTCGTCGATGAAGAGGATGGAGGTTATGACTAGTATACACTGAGATATCTCACGAGTTTTGGTGATGGATCGCATGACAATTACCCATAATTTGTTTTCTTCAAACATTTTACTACAAAATAAGGGATTGAGGTTTACCAATCAACTGGGCTCAGAAAGCGTGATGTCAGTAATACTTTTGTCAAGGGGTTAGAGGAAGTTAATACCGATACCTGCCTCAGAAACCTGAAAAAGGGGATTTAAAAATTGGATTACAGGTAGAATGACTAGTCCTGATTGCAGTCGTCATCTCCACTAAATTCCACAACCAGTCACCTTCATTTGGTACCTATTCATGGCCAAAATTCGGAGTTGCAACTTTTTCCAAATTGGAAATCTATTCTGAAACAAACTGTAAGGTATTTTTGAGTATAATTCTTAGATTAGCCCATTCGATTATTCGAGGCACCAGGCATTCTTGATGGTTTTGAGTGTGGGTATCACTCCTTGGGAGATTGTTGATTCTCGACTAATTGAATGCAATTTAAACACAGAGACACAAATGGTATGCACTGCTGACGAGTCCTAAATAGGACGAAACAGCTATCCAGTGCTCTTTGTTGGTTATCACAGTGCATAAATATTCATTTATTATTTTGACTGGTCAGCTTTTTAACACAGAATGCTTAGCTCATTTGGTCTCCAGGAAGCACCAAACTGGAGTTTTGTTTTTGTCAGGGTTCGCCTGTAGTGCGTTACCGGAATGTGCGATCCGGACCAATTTTCTTGGAAGATATGTGTTGCACTGTGCTAAACACAGCCCATCAATGACAGTCGGTCGGTCTATTTCGCCTGCCAGCGATAATGGTTAATGCAAAGTGCTACTCATAAGTAATTGGATAATCGATCAAGAGAGATATCATATCCTATAATACACTTGGTGGAATTCGACTTGGTAGTTGTCAAGTCACACCTATTCCGTGGATGTAGTACACTTTTGCAAGCCTCAGAGATTTTTGAGGAAACTACTTTGTTAGATTCAAGACACCTTATGTCACTTATTTTCAACAAAACTATTTTAAAAGAGCGTTTTTTCCTCATCAGTTTCATAACCGTCAAGGTGAGTAAATCAATCCGTTCAGACCAGGTACTAGAAGTAGGAATGAACTCACGTATCGTGGATCTATGTGAAATGTCAGATAGAAAAGGTTGGGGTCCTTTAAATTCAGGTGATTTCGTCGTAGAATTTGTTGAATCAACTCCTTAGCCGTTTCTTTCGAACCGACCGTGTAACTTTGGAATGGTTCACCTTGTTCAAAATGTTCTCCATACACGGTAACCTGCAGGGGAAAGAAAACGTGGTATAGTTGAAAGAAGATAGCGGTTAATGAAAAAGCTTAGCCAGTTGCATCTTCTTCATATTTGGACTGAAGAAGTCCACCTTTTTCAAAACCGTAATGAGTGATTACTTCAAATTTATTTAACGTGAGGTTGGGTTTTATTCCTAATGACAGAAGTCAAAAAATCCGTTTTCTAAATGAAGATTTGGTCTGCTCGACCGGTTTGACCAGGGAATAATATTAGAAGTCACATGAGAGCTCAATTTAGGGCAGGTGGTATCGGTTGTATGATCATTTTATGTTGACACATTTTGACAAACCTACATAACCTTCCGTGTCATATATTTTGAGTGCATTTGTAATATGCAGTGCGTAATGACAACCTGGACACGCGTCACCATATTGTCAGTGGAAGCGACAACACCGACTGTCATGCCCCGAAGATAATCACAACGAAGAAACTGCGCTTCAAATGCAGTATTTGACCAGATAAAGGACGTTGATTTGATTCAGAGACAGCAAAAACATATTGGTTATGCAGTAGATGCGGCGCGATGAAAGACTCGTATGGAAATTCAAGACTTGCAATCAGCGTGTGCGAATTCGTGCTGGGAGTGAAATTTGGACTGCCGTCTAACCGCCAACCATGTCAACCCATACTGCTAGTCCTTCGCAGTAAGTGGCACGCGGAAACACATAACATCCTGTCCTTGGATTACAATAATAAAATCGACCGTAGGTTGAATATTTCAGCTTGACCATTCTAGACCAGCCATCTTTGTGATCGATCAGCAGGTACGTTCGTCGATATTTTACTTCTCTGAAAACAAAACAACTTTCATTCGGTTACTGTGTTCGCTAACAAGGGCTTTCCATTAATCCTATTGCCCATCAACCACCACGGTAATGCTTTTAAATGTTTTCCTATGTCAATATTGGTGTAATGAATTGCATAATTTAATTTCTAATTGTCCAGCTCTAAATCAATAATCTTTGTTCTAACTTCATCGAATAGCTGGGGACATGTTGTTGCACGATTTGAATAGCTCACACTTATGTGATTAGTTACCCCTATTTAATAACTAATAAAACATTTTTCGGGATAAATTTTGTTAAATCCTCAATAAAAAACAAAAAGTGATGGCAAATGCAATTAATTGTTCTTAGTCCTGTGAATGCAAAGAAGATTCTGACCTCGATCTTATGGCTCTCACTGATTGAAAATATGACAACAATCACAATTTCATTTAGTTTTAGTGACCTAGTTCAGTAAAAATTATACATTTGGCTCGTTTTCATTAGCCTTTTGTCCACTAGCTCCTAAAAGGAAAATCTTTCCTGTGTACTTTGTCTTTTTTATTCTGTTTCACTTTACTTCCTTTTATTGAATACGCAAAGATACAATTTTCAGGAAGAGGTAAGCGACCAATCAAAGGGCTGCCATTCACCACACAAATGGGGAAAGTCAGGCGGTGGTGGTGGGATTCGAACACACGTCCTCTGGGGTGGTAACCTGTTGAAGTTTCCACCGGGCCACCACTGCCTACGGGCAGAGACATATGATGACGGTTGAAATTTTCCGGGGCTTGTCTACCATTAGCATATATAAATGAAGTATAGTATTCTCTGAAAATGGATTTTATGAATTAGGCTGCAAAGAAAAATACCTCCATGTAGGCATTTCAGGCCGGCATCAATGTATGGCATAAATAAAAGTTGCTGCCATCAAAAGATTTTTGAAGTAAACGAAATGTAAAAACGTCCACTACTTGATCAAGCTCTTTTTTTGATCGATAGACCCCTTTGGTTACCTTGGGATACGGATCGTAGTGCTGTACGCATCTCTTATTGTTTATTTCATTACCAGCACTAAAAATAAATCTCAGTTAACCCAGGGACAACTGAGACGCCCTTTGTTGCCAAACGTTGGTGTGCATAAACCTTGTTATTTTCTTTTGTATAAAGTTCAATGTCATTGTACCGTTTTTAGGCGACAGGTTATCGGTTTTCTGTACGCGTTTACAGATTAGTAATGGAGGACCTGAACACTGTGGTTTGACTGTGAAAACCGGTGGCCAGTGCTGGTTGATTTTGCGTAGATTTTCATGGTGGTGGCGGTCAAACGATTTAATTCACTGTCATTGGCCCTGCGGATAGAGGTTTGAACTCATCCACTGCCACCAAACTTCGGTGGTAGGTGGCTTCCTTGTTCTTCTACTTAATGCCATGCCCATGCTAATGGAGTCTTATGTTGTTCGGTACTTCAAGTATCCGAGCTTACATTGCTGGTTCCTAAGCGCAAAACCGTAGGCTGCTATGAATTCTGCTGTTCACCTTCCACGTGTGTTTAATTACAAAATACTATAATAATATAAGACACTACGGATAAACTGCATGAAATAGCCTCCTCACTGTCACCATTTTCGGTTAAGGGGATATCTCTCAACAGGTCAGGATTTTGTGAGGTTGAGAGATATTTTTCAAAGTGTTGACCATAGTCACACAAAAGCTTCTCTAAATTTACGTAGCAATATGTGGCATTGACGCGATCTCAGTCTCTCCTTGAAAGCTCGCGTTTACAATGGCACAATACGCAGCTGAGAGAGATCACCGTTGCATCGACAGAATACGTTGGTAAAAGCGAATCACAAGCCATGAGGCTCGCCGAAGAATCTTCGGCTCAGAGCATCTCAGTCGCTCTCTGGTTGTCGTTATCTCGCTCCAGGAACCTCAATGTCTGTTATATGTGCTGTCAATGCCTGCCTTATGACTGTCCCATCGTGTTATGTTTACGCAAACCAACACTAATTGGAAGCGGCGACAAGGTGGACCACGAACAACCTGGGCTCGAACGAAGAAGGCTTTAACCTCAAAAGTGGCAGTGGTAGGACACTGTAGACTACCAGGTTGAGGTCCCAAGGACAACAAAAAACCTTGGCTTGAAACACTAGTCGACACAGTTGGTAACCTTTGCTAATGGTGCACTTGTTGCGAGACCCATATCACATCTCTTCCTTCACATTCTGTGGCACATCTGCCCTTTTTTAATTGGTTTGGTGTTGAACATGCATGCCAACAGCGTAAGAATGACTCTCCTCTGAGCTGAAAATCTAATATTTACTGGTCTGATGAACCCAAAACATAAATGATTGCACAAGGCTTGGTTGAGGCCAGTTTTACGTTCTTAATGCTTTCAAAATTGCTCATTTCATTGATGAGGTTTCAGAATGATAAAAAAATGTTATAGGGAGTAAATAAGTCGCAAAGCTCCATGTATGATGCGAAACAAAAGTTACCACGTTTTTCGTGAAACATTAGGACTATTCGTAAACGAGGTGAGTTACTTGAATATAACTATATTAGGTTCACAGGAATTTAGTTATGAAATACAGCACATATAACCTCATCGGATAGGTTTAATTAGACCTTTAATTTTCATCAGTGCCATACGCAAGTAGACCTGTTCATCGGTTAGCATGATTTAGAGATGGTGGTGGTGATGATAGTGGTCTGATTGTGTAAGTCACCGTCACATTTTTCCGCTCCCACATTTCATTACATTTTGGGAGGCTCATTGGTTTATCGGTCCTCCTTTCCGAGAACAGGATCTTACAGTAATAATAACAATAAAAAGAAATGGAACCACTTTATCATCATCATTTTATAATGGAATGGCTTATTCTGGGAACAAACGCAGGTTTATTTTGTCCGCTTTGAGATGAACTGGTCTCTCCCATGCTAGTGCGGGAATTTTCAAATGAATAATCAACTTGCTTATTGATGACAGGTCCCGAGCTAAGCCTCGGTCCAACCCTTTGGTACAGAATTATAAAAATCGCACATCGTGGAACATTTTTCTCGTTATCTTACAGTGTTACCAATACACACCTGTTAACTTCGTCTCCTTTTCTTTTGATGCTCCTAAAGACAACATTTTTATGATTGGCTCATCCTGATGATGAAAAAATCATCTTTCGCACATTATTCGCACTGGAACAATTTTAGGAACGTACCAGAAAATTTGTGGACCGCTTGAAACAGTTCAAAATTTGAGTGCCAGGCAAAGTACCTAGTGAGTCGTGCATTAAATTGCCCATGTTTCCCTCCTTTGATGAGTCACAATTTGAGCTGATAAAATTCTGTATGGTTTATTGACTGTCCGCGCAACACACTATATTATATCACTGCTTTTTATGCATACTTGTCGAAGAAATAAGAGCAATTTCAGATGTGTTGTAACTGGCGTTTGGAAACTCTGAAATAACTTGGCACATTGCAGAGAGTAGATTGTTTTGAGGATATGAAGATAAAATATGACGTGAATTCTATCTAACAACGAACGGATGCCTTGACAAACGGTAGACCGATTTGAAACATGACGTCATCGGTTGCGCTATTTAACTTTGAATCGGTGGCACGATTTTTCACCTAAGCCCAACTGATGTGTAACTTACAATTTCTGAGTCTTCAGCATAGCTCTTTTTACTTATTCTTCACGTCGTCAGCAACCCCCCTTCCGTTAAGCTGCAGCACTATTCACAATTATAATGTGAAACTTGGTCAAATGCCAGACATGTGAATTTCATGCCCAACACCAATGAAGCCAAATATGGTAATTCATCGTGACAACAAATTTATTTTCTCAGTGCTGCAAATGAAGCAGGAAATTGCCTCCGTCTTTTTCAAGTTGCACTAACCTGAATGAATAAAAATCCCGAATTGATGAATGTGGTTCAAACATGAACCAAGAGTATCACAGTCGTGAAGCGTAACTGATTGCTCCGCGGCACACAGCAGACGGCCTCTGCAGGCAGCTTCAGCAACAATTAATCTCAGTAGTGCACTTCAACCCCAACCAAGCGCAAGCCCATGGTCATTTTTTCATAGAGAGCTACCTACTACTGAATAGTTACGGAAATGGTTAGACACGCTGAATGTTCGATCTCTACAACGGCATTTTACACCCGGTTTATTGGTTCAGTCAAATCTGGGTAGTTCGTCTGATGCGTCTCTGTTACGTATGCGACCTCCTTGAAATGGTTCAAATTTTATAGGTATCATTGTCAATAAAGAAGGTTGAAATAAGTGAACTGCGGGGTATATTGTTACTGCCATCGGAATGTCAACCTTGTACATTTTTAAACCGCAAAGCGTGTAAATGTGAATAACTTCACAGACTTCAAAGCAATAGTACCGGTTTGATTGCGTTTTTGAGTTGACCATTTAATTTCATAGGTGTACTTCCATCGGTTTCGGGTTGTAAATGGAAATTATTAGGACTATTTTATAACTTCATACGTAATGACTGAGTGTCACACATTTTACGACTCATAGGGCAATAACAGCACTGATGAATTCGACAATACTGATGTTCAGAGTGATTAAAATGGCATTGAAGGTGTTCCTGATCCGAGCTAACACGAATGACAAGAGCCGTAAAGATATCGATACCAGTCGAATTTTACCTCTGCATTTCATGTTGATAAATGGTTTTTCTGCCTAACCCCTAACCCCATTGCTGTACTGGCACCAGTTCAGTTTTCATGATTGTCAAAACTGTCAATCGTTTTATTGCTTAGTCACGTCAAACGCAACCAGCTTCATCCTCCAAATGTTAAGTGAGTAAATAACGCACTAGACTCAACATTTTCCCCAACGAAGTTTAGTAACCTCTCTGTTGTAATTAATTATCGTTAGGTGAGCATCTATTCTTTGCCAAGAGTTCGTTAGTTGTTTGTTTGAAAGTGTACTACAGAGGATGACGCGTTCTAGCAAGCTGATTTTCTGAATAAAAAGAACAACGTAATTTGTTACGTGTTTCCTTCTTAAAATGCAAGGAGTTTTAGATCCCGATTGTTTGTGATGTTTTCAGTTTTTATATTTATATTTAATGAACCTATGATTGATAATCATTGCTGATTAGGCAATTTATCCTTTTGAAAATACTTATAACGATTCGATAATCTGTTGTAACTGATTTTCGTTGGTCTGTGCAATGGCACTGTGTGAAACTATTTCTGCTCACATCAACGCTCTTTTTAGTGTTAAGTTTCATCAAGATCCATAATGTAGTTATCCATCAAGTCACTCAGTTTTAGGAGTGTTGATTGAAACTTAAACCAACCTTCAAGGTAGCGTTTTCTGATATCCACATCCATACTTCACGAAATCATTTCACTAAGATGACCTTGCAAAGTCATATCGATTAAGAGATCAGCAACAACAATAATTCACGCAACCTGTAACCTGAGTCCGCAACTGAACACCAAAATCAGTAGGACATCATATCATTTTATGGATTCTAAAAAGCATTTTGAATTTCTTTGTTGCATCCCTGGTTGTTGTTGTTCTGTGAGACGTTTCTGATTGGATTGGCATTTGTACATTTATTTCTGTTGGAAGGTTGATGTTACATATTTCCCGGCCATTTTACAAACAAACTTAAGTTCTCTTAAAGCAGATAACGAAAATACACACTAATTATCTCTCAAGGAAATAGTCAACGATGTTTATACTCTTTTCTTTGTGCGTCTAAAATACGTGAAAAATGAGAACATTCATGCCTTCGTTATTATATAATCGAATGATCGGATACAGCCTAAGGATATGTAGGATCTCCAGACCAGTTTTTTCACTTTGTATGTTCTTGCATAGGTTCACAAGAGAACGAACACGCACACTTAAATTGAATCTGAAAGGCCATGATGAATTTAACTGATTATTTAAAGTTTACTTGGTTCTACTCTGTACGATCCAAACGATATAAGTCATTCGGTAGTAAAATCATCTAAACATGGACTGTCAGTCACACATTGTATGGTTGATTTGCACCATTTTTATGAGGGTTACTTCACTTCTAAAGAAAACTTATTCCATACTGAAAATCTACTAACTAATTTAATTCCTTCTTGTTTGTGTCCTTCGGAAAAGCTGATGCTACGAATCCTACTTTTCAAGCCACATTCCTATGGCCACGAAGATACTATCTATATTTCTTTGACCATTTCACTCATGGACGCTACATTTCGGGTTGTGTGAGTCAATCCCTTTGATTCTGAGCAAATACATGGACCAACAGATTCATTCAATATAAATATTAATTTCGCTGAAAGGTAGGAGCTTCCCAGATTGCGTCGTGAGAATCTTTCTTTGGATTTTTATGGTTAACTTAACATAGACAAATCCTTGTTCATCACCACGTTCGTCCACAAAAAGTATGATCTTCATTCTAACGTGTAAAATGTATCGGGTCTAAATACCCTGAAACTCAATACTGAATTTAGTTGTGCTGTTCATCTAGAAGGTGAACGCGAGTGCAGTTCACTTTTTCTCTTACCGTGTAGGAGTCCTGAGTAAATTTATCCCATTGAGTCATGTTCACTGGTGGCGAATTCCAATTGGGTCTCGAAGCAGAACACAAATTGATGTCACACCACAGTGTATGGAACAATCGGGAACCATATCACAGATGAAAATTCCCATCCGGCGGCATTTCTCACAGATGCACAAACACGGTTTGGTGATAGATCCTTTACAGCGCAATCCACAAAAAAAGAAACTTTTCAAATGCACAACTGAAGAGGTGAGGAAATCCAAAGATGGAACGCGAAGTGTTTCGTTCGATGCGCTCCCGATCACTCGGTGGTATTTTGCACTCACTGTTGGCTTCTGTGTGCGTCTGCTCAAGGTCTGGTTTGTGCCTCACACCAAAATATGACTCAATTCGAAGAAAGATATAAAGCCGACCGATAAAAACGATCAGATCGATCGAAGCTGTCAAACAACCAAAGCTCTGCTCTGTTCAACTCAGCTCAGTGGCTCTTGTAATGCCACATAACAACAGTAATCATCATTATCATCATCGGTGTCAGCGTGATCAGTAGAAAGACAGAATGCATTGAGCACAATATTAAGAAATAATGTGACACGGTTGCGTTGATCAGTATCGACATATTGACTACTTTGTCAGTCAGCAGAGAGAGCGAGTGAGAGCTAGATAGATAGATCGAAGTGAAGAAGGGAGGAGAAGCACAAATGACGCTGATGAAGGATTTCGAGTGAGACAAATCAATCAAAGCACCCCATTAATATCGAAACGTTTTGACATATACAGGTGCACAGTGAACCAGACGTTTGTGCCAGCCAGTCAACCAGCCAGTTAGCCAGCAATACCCGGTGGAGCAGGAGGATGCACATGAGTTGAGCTTACTCAAACGTGCGTTGAAGGAACGCAGATATGCGCATACACATGCAAAAAGCATGCTCGCACACACTAACTTACAATTACATATATATACATACTCCGTAATATGCGCACATGCTCGTTAACATGAAAGCTCCGACACCGACGTCAGAGTGAGAAATCCGGAGAGGATATCAAAATAATGGAAACTAATCTAAATTTATTGAATTTCGTTTCTCGTAAGCCACCTGAGGGGTATCTACTGGTTGATGAAACCTAAAACACTGTATAACTCAGTAGCGATCATTACCGAACCCAGCAATATCTCATAAATTTGATAAACCATCCTTCAGACTTCACCTTCATGCATAAGCAGCCCGCAAATTCAAGAAGCTGTTTAATTCAGTTTCATTCTTTGAAAGGTATTCATCAGTTATGTACAAAAAACTGAATGGACTAGGGTTTGATCTCTGAATCCGGAGCAAGCAAATCGTGCCTCAGTACTGTTCTAAAAACACCCTGGGGCTGATCAGAATAACTGATTTCAGTAACCTGATGCTGTGGAGATCTATTTTGGTGAACAGATAGTTCATTCAGTCTTCGTTGTTGTTGAGTTCATGAATGCCATATTCGTGCAAGTAGGTATAAATTTTCATTCGTATCTTTCTATTTTTCTTCTTTTAAGTGAATATAGAAAGATACAATTTTCAGGAATTGGGGGGGGGCCGCCAGTCAAAGAGCTGTCTTAAAGTGCACAGCGAATAGGAACGTTAGGCGATGATGGTGGGATTCGAACACACGTCTTCCGGGGCGATGATTTGGTGACCTTTACTACCCAACCACATACGTGCAATACAAATAGGGCGTGGGCTGTCCGCAAATTACGTAAGCGATTATTTGATTTATACTTAATAA